TCTCCAGCCTTTTGCAGCCATATCTGCAGAAGCCCAGTCCTTCTCTACCCTGAAGTGAAGATTTTTCCACCTAAGTGGATTAGTCTGCACTTATCTGTAGCAAATATCACCTTTGTGTACATACCCTCTCTTTCAATTTGTCAGAATGATTTCTGAACGCAACTCCATTTTCATATTCAGTCACTTTGGTCCCAACAGGAATGGTCCCCAAAATTCAAATATAAGATGCCTGGGAACATTTTTAACTTTGAAACTAAAATGTGGCCACTGTGCAATGGGTGTACACAAGTGAACTTGGGGGTGTGACATTAAATGGGAAGGAAGGAAGAGCCTTCTGCTTCTAGTGATGAAAGGTTTCTTCATCTATAAATTCCAAATGATCAACACTGCAGATTCATGTGTTCTTATCCAAAATGCTTTGGGCCAGATCTGGTTTGAAATCTGGAGTTTTTCAAACTTAAAAATAGCAATACCAGGCAGAGGGCACATATTAAATAATGCCTCCAGCTGGGTCTCAGGCACCACTCCATCATGGAACATGGTAATATTTCACTAGCAAAATACATGAATGTTCTAAGTAGGATAAGTAGAGACTATAAATAGCTTCATGTCAGTTCAGGTCAGTTTTGTTGCCAACTGAGTTAGTTCTAAACTTAAGCAAAAAAAGCTTAGGTGTTCAGAGCTTTGTGAACTTTGGAATGGCAGATAAGGGATCATGCACACAGACAGGACCCAAAGAACCAGTGCTAGCCCTCCTGACCTTTCTGCATAAAGATACTTTTAAAGCATATAGGTGTGGCTGCTTTCCAGAATATTTCTGTCAGGTTCTGTTTGGGAAGCCCTGCATAGCAGAGGTCATTCGGCTTTAGTTATTCAAACTGTCGTTTAGAAAGCAAAATAAAAACCTACAAACTTAAAGCATTTCCCTTTGAAGCTGAGCACCATTATCTTTAAGAGCTAAAGTGAATTTTCACAAACCACTTGCACACACACAAAATGGTACATAGTACACAGAGAAGCCAAACACCCAGGCACTGTGCATATCAGTCTATTAAGTGCTTCTCAGACTTAATTGTCCATAAGATTCACCTGCGGATCTTGTTGAGATGCTGATTATGTCTCATTAGGTCTGGGTGGGACAGAAATCCTACATTTCAAACAAGCTCCTGGATACAGCTCTGAGGACCAGCCTTTGAGTCGCAAGGCTGCAGCAGAAGTGCATTAAGTTTGGAAACAGACGGACCTGAGTAAGATCCTGACTCCACCACTTACAAGCTAAGTGACCCTGGGAAAATGGAAATAACAATGACACTTTTTCAAGCCCATAATGAGTGAGCTAGCAGCACAGTTCCTGGCACATAACAGACCCCGAATTCATCCTTTGCCAATCTGTGGTTGGCTGAATAATGGTCCCCCAAAGATGTCCACATCCCAGTCCCCCAAATCTATGAATATGTTACCTTACAAGGCAAAAGAGAATTTGCAGATGCGATAAAGTTAAGGATTTTGAGATGAAGAGATTATCCTGGGCTATCTGAACAGGCCAACATGATCACAAGGGTGTTGGTAAGAGGGAAGCAGGAGGATAGGAGTAAGAGAATATGAGAGGGTGAATCAAAGGTCACTGAGTCGAGAAGATGCTATGTTGCTGGCTTTGAAGACAGAGGAAGGGGCCTTGACCCAGGACATGTGCGCAGCCTCTAGAAGCTGGAACCTCCCAGAAAGGATGCGGCCCTGCACACCCATTTTATACTCTGTCCTCCAGGACTATAAGAGAATAAATGTGTTGTTTTAGACCACTAAGTCTATAGTAATTGTTTACAGCAGCCATAGGAAACTAATACACCATGTATTGAAATAATGCTAACGCAGGCTTGCCTCACTTTACGTAACAGAGGACTTCCCGGGGCTGAATCAACTGAAACATCATGTAACAGCTGCCCCGGTGGAGGTCAGTAAACAAAGAACTCTTCAAGGAGACTTTGTATCAAGGGAAGAATTCCTCCCGCTTTATCTGTTTTGTTTGGTTATAGCCCTTGCTACCAAACAGGGACAGACACACCAACCGGTTCCAAAGGCTAAAGGGACTCTCCTGCTCTCTAATTGTAACATCACATTCCAGCTTCTCATGTAATTGTCGAAACCTAATAAGGCTCCTGGGGACATCATCAGTGGGTCGATGCCTCAACATCAGGAGGACTGAAGAAAGTCATCCTGGGCTCAAGAGTGAAGGATTGAAAATCAATGGTCTCAATATTTGTACAAGTCTTCATTTGCTACTTATAATGTGGTTTATCCCACAGAGACGCTTTATAAAATAAGAAAATACCAAGATAACCCAAAAGATGCCTGCAGAATGAAAACTGCATATGTTTCAAAACTAAGTGGGCCTTGTCCTGCATTTCTTAGGCTTTTTCCTGCAGGCCTTGGCACCAATGGCACCCCTTAACCATCCTGGGTTTTACACTTCCCTTACCAGACTCTAAGCTCCGCGGAAGGGCTGGTCTCTCATTTCTAACTATCGTATCCACATCATCTGTAACTGACACTTAGTTTGCACACAATAAATGTTTGTAGATGAACGAATATTATGATGGATATTTATAACAGAAAAGCATATTCGGACTTTCATTAACAAAAGCATTACTTGTAAAGTTCTTTTTCTCCAATTTGAACTTAAAACTACTTGGCCCAAGATATTATTTATGGTGGAATTAAAAGTATGCTCTCCGATTTTATCTGCCTATTAATATATGCATTTGATAATTAACAATGTGCTAAGCAGTCAAAGCAAATAATTACTTTTCTACTGTCTGCCCCTGCATATGAGCTAAATGAGGGGGAAGCCACTAATTGCATATTAAAAAATGCAATTAAATGCAAAAAAAATGGTAACTAAATTCAAAACGTTTTGTTTAAACCTCAGACCACAATATTCAAAACAGTTACAATCCTTTCACTGGGTCAGTTACAATCCCACAAAACAATCCAAATCTTCAGAATTCTGTTCGGGTCACAATGAATATAAAACGGGTTCTCAAAAGTTTGCTAGTTCACATTTTCGAGGTCTTCTGACCAACTGGTAGGGTTGATCATAAAAACTCTATCTTTTAATTTACTTATGTTCAGTACACTTTATTTAAGAAGCAGTGTAATCACACGGAATGCTTTTATTTTAAACCTTATTTTGAAATATGACTGAATACATTAACATAATTCAGAACAAGTCAGTAAACATCTACAAGAACATGTTATATAATTCTAGTGAGTCTCATAATATTCTATTTTCAAAGGAAAAAAAAAAACAACACTGGACAGAAAAGCAGTAAATTTGGAATCTGAGGGTTCTCCCTGCTGGCCACACTCCCTAGACTTCAAGGAGAGCCATTCTGAGCAGCCCCTTCTCCATCCTCACACGTTCACTCTGGGATTGTTCTAGATAAGTAGGTTACCAGACAAGTGAGTCCTGGAGGGGAGGAATTAATGTACCCAGGCTTCCTGCAGAGTGCCTTGGCTTCTAAAGACATTAGAAATTATAGCAGGACTCAAGAGTCTTGGTTTACAAAGTAACGTTAGCCAAAACCAAACACCCATAGCAACTAGAGTGTTTTCTGCAATGGTCTTTGGGTCATCTCTGTCCACTAAGCAGAGACCAAGACACAGACAAGAGTGGTCTTGGGTGCCTGCTCTGCCTCCCAGATGGGCAGGGGCGGTTTCCACTTTCTTATACTTGCTCACTGGGCTTTATCTTTGCCTGGGAGAGAACGATATCAAAGGAAAGGGGAATAAATAAAGGAAGCGAGTTCTAAAAAGGACCTGTTATGTTCACGTTCCTACCATCTCACTTTTCTTCAGGGGAACCATCCTGTTCTTCTGACCACTTGGCTGCAGGGGAGCTGACCCCACACCCTGGCTTCATGGGGCTATGTGAGCTGGATGGGTGCTGGTCTGTAACTCTGATTGGACCACTAAGAATAAGGCACTTTCAGGGGCTTCCCTGGTGGCGCAGTGGTTAAGAATCCGCCTGCCAATGCAGGAGACACGGGTTTGAGCCCTGGTCCGGGAAGATCCCACATGCCGCAGAGCAACTAAGCCCGTGGGCCACAGCTACTGAGCCTACACTCAAGAGCCCACAAGCCACTACTACTGAGCCCGTGTGCCACAACTACTGAAGCCCGCGTGCCTGCAGCCCATGCTCCGCAACAAGAGAAGCCGCCACAATGAGAAGCCTGCACACCACAATGAAGAGTAGCCCCCACTCGCCACAACTAGAGAAAGCCCGTGCACAGCAACAAAGACCCAATGCAGCCAAAAATTAATTAATTATTTTTTTTAAAAAAAAGAATAAGGCACTTTCTTTCTGTTGTGGTTTCAGTAAGAAGGACATACACCTAAAGCTCCCAGGAGCCACTACCTGGAAAGAGCCTGCATGAGAATAAATTCAACCCAGAGGAAAGCAAGGCTGAGTGAGGAAGAGACCAAGCCCTGACAGCAACCTCTGAGCCCCTGGATCCGGCCACACCCGAAGCCCAAATCTAACCTTGGACTTTACAGTCCCATAGGGTACCACAAAATTTAAAAAAAAATTAATCTAGTTCAAGTTAGATTGTCATTTGAAACTGAAAAAGCACTAACAAATACAGGAGAAATAAAAGCACAAGAAGAAGGGAAACGAAAGGAGAAGATTACGTTTATGGATATGGGATCTGAAAGCAGTTCAAGTTTGTCCCCGGGGAAAGCAGAAAGGTGACACATAGGAAACTGTTCCATTTTTCATAGTAAGCTCAGACCATAAGAACTGTAGCTCTGCCTAATTACTGTGATTAATCTTTCCAAATTCTAAAAATAAAATGAGCGTGTATTTTCTGATGTTTGATGATACTGCAACCATCGTGAAGAGAAAGAATGAGCCGTTACTGAATAGAGTCGTCTTTTAAGACAAATCATCTTTTTCTGGCTGGGGGAAGAAGACAAGGTCACAATGACGACCCCAGTCTTACCGGGCATGGCATGGACGAGGTCCCCGCACAGAACAAAGAACTTGGGCTTGGGGCTCAGCCTGCTGATAGCCTGGACGGCTTGCTCAGTCAGATGGATCTCCTGCTTCCACTCGTCGCCACCGCTGTCACAGTCCCCAGTGGACCATGCCTTCATCAGTCCGAGCTGTGGGTCTGCACCTTGGATGAAGTAGAACGGGCCTTTCCATTCCCTTTCCTTTTCTTTAATTAAAAAAAAAAAAAAAAGAATGAATGGAAGGAAGGAAGGGAGGGAGGAAGGAAGAAAAGAGAGGGAAGAAATATTATAAAATCTGTCAGGGAAAGCACCCAGGTTACCCTGCAAGTGGATACAATATTTTTCTTAAATTAAGTAGGTCATTTTAATAAGCTGCTGTTCAAACACACCATTTTCCTGTCATCAGCCAGAGGATTTTGATTTATACTAATTATGCCTGGACCTGGTGATTCCCAAAGGCCAGGGAAAAACCACATGGGCCGTTAACAGCTATGCAACCAAGCTGTCTGTTTAACAGCCAGATGGCCAAGATGGAGCACAGAGGCACCATGGCACACTATATAGAGGACATTAATGTTCAATAGTTTTTTAATTAGAATTAAAAATACCCCAAATTGAAAGCTGCCAGAAGTATTATGTTTAAACGACGAGGTGAAGTGCTTTCAAATCTTTCACGCCAGGCTTAATGGCACAATTTGCACTGTTTCAGGGGATGTGACAGAAAAACTTGGAGCTCAGAAGCTCCGGCTATCTGGTGGGAAAGGCGGGGCCAGAAATGAAATCTTAATGTGGAAAAAAAAAAATGATGCTAACATTTCCAAGGCAGCATGATGTGGGCATAGGTGAGGTGTGAGGCTGCAGGGCAGGGCTGGGGAGACGAGATTCTTTAATTCTTTATATCCTTGGAAAGCACTTAGGTCACCTGAAGGTAAACTATCAGGCTGCTCTTCCTATTGGTTCTGCCAAAGCTTCAAGGGCCACAGGTCTCCACCCTGATCCGCCCAAAAAACTGCCAGCAGTGTCTGCATTTACAGAGCTGGAATGCCCATCAGTGGGTGCGTGGGTTTCAAACTTTTCTTTGGCCACAGAATCCTTTCTTCAAACAAAACCACAGGTGGCTGACCAGTGTTGAAAACACGTAGCCTCCTCTGCCTGAGCGGGTTCTGGGGACACAGCAGTCTGAACACACCCACTCATCAGCCCAGATTTTATCCTCAGCCCAGAGAGGTGACGTGACTTGCCTCATGGACACCAGCCATCAGCTGCAGGGACAAAACTACCTCACAACCTTGAGACTGTTCTCTTCTTTTTAACAAATGAACGTATTTTGCAGGTGAGCTGAATAAATGGCATTTCCTTTGGAAGTCATGAAGATACTAGAATTTCCCAAAAGCTCCTTGTAGTCATTTCACATCTTTGTGTTCATTTCACTCATTTATTCAGTATTTACCAAAAGCCTACTGTTTGCTGGGCCCTGTGCGAGGTGCTGATGACACACAAGTGGACCAAGACAGGTGAGGTCTTGGCTCTCGTGGGCTTAGTTCTCATGGGGGGGAGAGAGAGCAAACAAGGAAATTCGCAGAGAATAGAGCCGAGGGTGCTAAGGGCTCTGCGAGGATTAAGGCGAAAGCAATGGTTAATTTAAATTGGATGCACAGGGAAGGCCTCTCTGAGGTGGGGTCATTTAAGCTGAGATCTAGATGTAGCACATAAGCTTTTAAAATTCCACGACCACCCTCCCACCCACTATGCCTAGCTTACTATCATCTCAGAATGGATCTCAGGCTTTAGGCCTCCTTTCCTTAATTCCTCTTCCAGAACTTAAGAAGACAAGCATGTAAACAAACAAAATTATCTATCTGTACTTTCCAGAACAAATTATGTATGTGTGTTAACCTGCCAGTTCTTGAACTACAGCTTAAAATGCTAGCTGTTCAGTCACAGCTAGCACAACCTACCTAAACTCACCCTGAACAAGGACTGCAATGAAACCCTGTTGTGTGCATCTCACTGCCAAGGACAGCGATCCAGCACTACAACGGATCTGACTCATACTCATTGAGCCCTTACTACATGTGGCAGAAAGACTCCAAAACACCCCCCAAAGACCCCTGAGTCCTGATACTCACATCCTGTGTGATCCCCTCCCCTTGAGTGTGGGCTGGACTGCTTCTAATAAGCAGAATACAGTTATGGGATGTGCCTTCAGAGACTGGCTAGACCAAGATATGGAAACAACCTAAATGTTCCTCAGTGGATGAATGGATAAAGAAAAAGTGGTATATACATACAACAGAATATTATTCAGCCTTAAAAAAAGGAAATCCTGCCATTTGGGACAAAAAGGATGAACCTGGAGACATTAAGCTACCTGCAATAAGCCAGTCGCAGACAGACAAATACTGCATGATCCTCAACTTGTATGAAGAATCCAAAATAGTCAAACTCATAGAAGCAGAGGGTAGAACCATGGGTTCCAGGGGCTGGGGGGTAGGTAGGGGAAATGGGGAGGGGAGGCTCAAAGGGTACAAAGTTTCAATTATACAAGATAAGTAAGTTCTGGAGATCTACTCTACAGGATGGTGCCTATAGCTAACAATACTGTATTGGACACTTAAAATTTGCTAAGAAGGTAGATCTTAAGTGTTCCTATCACACACACACACACAAACAACAACAACAACAATAAAGGGGGCGGGAAGAAACTTTAGGAGGAGATGGATGTTTATGATAGGTGTTGATGGTAGTGATGGTTTCACAGGTCTATACTTATCCCCAAACTCACTGAGTTGTACACATTATATATGTACAGCATTTCATGTCATCATATCTCAATACAGTGGTTTTGAAAAAAGAGAGAGATAAGGCTAAAAAAAACACCCTGACTTTCACCTTGCTCACTCTCCCTCACTCTCTCGGAGCCCTTCTCCTGGAGGAAACAGGCTGTCATGATGAGTAGACCCCTGAAAAGGCCAACATGGCAAGGAACTGAGGGAGGGCTCTGGCCAACAGCCTGTGAAAAGCAGAGCCCCCCGCCCCCCCATGCAACAACCTGAAAGAAACCAAATCCTGCCAACAAGCATGTGAGTAAACTTGGAAGAGGATTCGCCCTAGGTGAGCTTTTGGATGAGACCACACCCCAGGTGACACCTTGACGGAACCCTCATGAGACCCTGCAGCAGAAGGACCCAGCTAGGTTGCACCCAGATTCCTGATGGAACTGGGAGATAGATAATGCACATTAGTTTTCTCAAGCTGCCAAGTTTCTGGGTAATTTGTTACCCAGATCCGACTTAAAGACAAAGGGCCAGGAAGGAGTCAGCATGGTGTCATGAAAAAAACTGAGATTCTGATTTGAGTTTTAAAGTTAATTGTTGGCACTGTGCATTTATTTTACTTTAATAATAACCATTTTGCACTGATGAATGCTTTTAGCTATGTACCTGTTTCTGAGGCAGTTTGCAAAGCTGTTTAAACTGGATAAATTAATCAGGGAGATGACTGTCACCCCAAAGTTGGGGCATAAATCATTCTGCTACAACCACCAGAATTTAGAAAGTTTTCTACAGTGAACGTTTTAACAGTTATAGTTGCCTATCACAAATAGTCATAGTCTCGAAAAGTCGTCTTTGGAGGTATTAAATCTTTCATTATTACTGGTTTACTAAGTAAAATCTTAGAAAGAATCTCAATTTTATGATGACAAGGCACAAAATAAACAGATTTGACCTAAAATAAATGACAGCTCCATGTCACTGTTCCATCGACCTTATCTATCTAATAAAGGCAACCTGCTGACTCAGGGTTCTGCATTCTCAAAAGCACCTGGAGCCTCTTAAAGTTCCTGCTACAGAAGTTTGTGGTGTTTGGCCTCATCTTAATTTTAATCAAGGCTGAATTTAAGATATTTGAGGCTTGTAAGACTTAGTACTAGATGGAGGGATCTTTTGTAAACTCATGCCTCCCCCACCCCTCAGAAGGGCAGACTTTTATATTAGGAAAGCGAATTCTTAAAAACATTTGCATTAAATTATTTCACCGAAGTCCAGAATTACCCCAAGGACAGGGCATAGGTATTAGCTGACTGACACCTACAAGGGCCTGGGAATGCTTACGATGATGCCTCCCTTAAGGGGCAGAGCAAATGTCTGGCCCCAGCTTCTCTCTTTAGACTCCGGAAAGCACTGTTCTGGCAGCTCTAACTGTGGAAGTCTGGATATGGTAAGGACCATCCCTAAAGCAACCTGATACACAGTCAGGGCATTTAAAAACCACTTAAGGGTCCAGTAGTTTATTGCTTGTTGTTTTGTTTTGTTTTTAATTTTCCTAGTCAAAGAGCCTAAAGGTGAGACAGCCCGGTAAATGACTGACAACCCAAATTAAGGAGCAGAAGTACCTGGAAATGGAGGCTGAGGGAGAAGTTGAGGATGACGAGAGAGCAGCAATTATGCAGGCCGTACTTGGGCACAGGGGGCTGGGCTGGGCCTCCACCTCAGTCCTCAAGGTGTGGCAACGGACCAGCAACATCACCATCACCTGCGAGCTCAGGAAGCCCACCCCAGACCTACTGAGTCAGAATCTGCACTTCAACAAATTCCCAGGTGATTTTATGCAAATCCAAGTGTGAGAAGTACTGGCAAGGACCTGTTTAAATGTGTTTTATATCAAACAGATGTAAAGTGATTGTTTCCCTAAACTGAAACAATGTCTGGGAGGGGTTTTGCTGTTGTTAGTGGCTGTGTTTTTTGTTTCATTTTGTTTTTGTTTTGCATATTTTCCTATTCATTCTGACATCCTGCCTATGTCCAGCTCAGGTATTTGGTCCTAAACATTTCTTGGTCTTGTCCATTACTGTCTAATCAACTCCCTTTAAATCACCGTTCAAAATCAATTCAGTTTTCTTGGTAAGAATTCCAAGATTCCAGGTAAGAACTTAATCAGGGAATTCATTACTAATTAGTGAGTTCTAACACTTTAGATTTTCACATGACATCATGACATACAGTGAAAGCACCTGCTAGCAACTGTGTGTGTGCAGCATACACAAATGTGTGTTTTTAAAAGCACAACAGAGAGGTAATTTTCTTTTGTCCAAATTTGATACAAGAATGCAGTCAAGGACTCTGACAACTATGATAAGACCAAGGTCAAATTTTTGAGATAAACTAAGTATTTTGAATGAATGGATTAAAGAATAAAGTGAGTT